TTGTAAGTATTTAATTAAGCAATGGAACGGTACAGTCACTGCAAGACGATTCTTCAAATAAGCGATGTTAAAATACTCTTCCAATAGAAATAAAGGAGAACAATTTAATTAGCGAATATTCAAACACGACGAGCCAGCTGCCGATCGTTCCACAAACGTCATGTCTCCCTGCGCTCCAATGGGAACAAGTGCTGATATAACCACTACGTGATTCGCTACTGGAAGCGACATGGCGGCTGGGGAGGAGTGACGTGAAGACATGTGGCTAGTAAGCACACATTATGGGTACAGTCAATTTGGGATTTTTTTTTCCCTTGGCACTACAGCCCCAGTGGGCCTAGGCCTACCTCCATAAACTTCTCCGTTCACTTCGGTTTTTCTAGATCGGTAGGACTCCTTGGGCGGGTGATCAGCTCGTCGCAAGGCCTCTACCTGTACACAAACACAGAAAATCGCACACACATAAACTAAACATCCATGCCCTGAGTGGGATTCGAACCCACGATCCCAGTTTCCAAGCGAGCGAAGACAGTACATGCCTTAGACCGCTCAGCTACCGTGACCGGCCCAATTTGGGATTACCTTCAATCATTTTATTACCCTCGGAGGATCAAAGGAAAATGAAAATACCAATAACCCCTTGAAAGATTTCCCGAGATACATATACAGTTGTTCCTGTGCATAATTACGCAGCACAACATGAAACCGAGATATAGATCCACCCATTCTTGACATCGGAACTGCTTGGAGGTGATTAGTAACTTCCGGTCGATTTATTCTCGGTAGAGACCACACGGTTCCTTTTGTACAGAGCCTGGGTGGGCCCAATGAGACGGCGTGGATATGATGGCGAACTTGCGATTGTTCCATCTCCCAGGATTCATAATATTCGTAATTACTTTTGCGTAGGAACAAACCAGAAAAGTTAAGCAATGTAACCCGAAGAAGAGTACATAGCACCAAGATCATGATTTACAGTTACCTAGAGGAAAATGAGTTCGACATTGATAGGGTCGATATTCCTGTGAGCACAAAATTTCAGAAATGCGTGTATGATACCGAGATACCCTCAGGACGATGGATGTCAGGGCTTCATTAACTGGAACGATGTAAAGCAGATATTCCAGGGCCCAGATGTGAAGGATGGATGAAATCTCAGCAAGAAATGATTAATTTTTCCATTCTGTGTCAGAGCTTTCATCAGAAGGGAATGCACAATACTTGCAGGCCACGCTGTACTCGCTGGTAATCTACAATACCATAAGTGAAAAAATTAGATTCTAAGGAGACTGAGGCGAGCTCTTTCCAAGGGAACCATCATAGGAGTCTATCCACTCACCTGAGGGCGGAAACAGAACCAGTTTCCGAAACGTTATGTTCTCTTAGTTTTTATAATACCGGACGACGGACGAAGTCCAATAAAACCCGAATCCTAACTGAAATGTCCTGCACTGTATCGAGTATTGCCAGCAACGATGTCAATATTCTCTCGGAATACTTCTGGCATCATCTGTGGTCTACAGAGCGATTCAACTCACGTCCACAAAAGCTTATTGGGTAGAGGATGTGTATGGGACAAAATTTTGAGGGCTAGTAACACACTTCAGCTTGTTGTAGGGAAAATTTCGTATAGGAAGAATAATGATAATGCCTCGAATGAATTCCGCATTATTGTCGATTTGTTTATTTTGAGATAGTTTCATAGTGTGACATGTTGCGCAACGAAGGACCCCTACCTACTGTCTTCGGCGATGGCCACGTTACAACTCGGAACTGTACTCGGCGACGGCTACATTTCAACTCAACTGCCTTCGTAGGCTGTGTAGCTCTCTTATATAGTCGCGGTGCCTGCCTGCTGCGCGGTGGGTGCCGCTGTTGCCTGTTACCCGTGTCACAGCTGCGTTGCGTGTTACGTCACCACGGGGAGTAGCGACAGCGCTACGATGCCGCCACGTACTTCTGGGGAGGTAGGGGTCCTTCGTTGCGCAACATGTCACACTACTTTCTAAACCACTTGAGGGATCCGGGATAGCGTAGTCAATATAGCGACTGGCTACGGACTGGCGTTCGGGTCCCGGTAGGATCAAGAATTTTCCTTTCTCTACGTCGTCCAGACCAGCTCTGGGATCCACTGAGCCTCCTTTCCAATGAGTACTGGGGACTCTTTCTTAATAAAGGTGTCCGGAAAGTTTTGAATATGTAAAACTGATGACAGTTCGATTACAGTGTGCGTACAAACCCTGCTGCTCTACTTGTATCCTGAATGCTTACTTCTCTGCCGAATAAGCCATCGTGACCCGATCCGCCTGAAACATTTCGCCATAGCATTCAGTGTGGGGCGGAATTTTATCGCCAAATAGCTGGAATGCATTTACACGTACATGTATTCGATAGCTGTGTGAATTTGCTGGACTGTCGAGAGGGTTGTTGGTATTTATGCCTTCATGCCTGTTTTCAGAATGTCTGTCGGGTACACCCCAAGCTCTGGTACTGGTGAGAGGGCAAGTCGGTCTCTGAGCGTGTAATTAAGGTCGGAATGTGAGCTTAACATTCACATCCATCAAATTTTAAGGGATACGTAGCGCGGAACTTAATATTCGCGCATCTGTGGCGTAACGCTGGAGTGATGATGCTACAAAACATTTCAGACAGTTACAGTTACAGTTTTGTGTATTGTGGGATTTATTTTTTATCGAGTTTTATTAATCGTGGCAATGGTTTTATGTATAATCGGTTTTAAATCTGTCTACAGGCGGAAACTTATAGGCGGGGTCAACACTAAGAGAACTGTATTTGTTAGGGGAGAGGTTGTAGCACTTTTATACAGATTTTCTGTGACCAGATACCTGCTCTGTGACATTTCTCTACTTTATGTATTATTAAGATCTAAAAGTTTGTGGCGATGGTATATTTCTACGATTATTATGTTTCTGGACGTTATTCATCTTCCTATCTTGATCTAAAAGTACCGTCCTCTTTATTTTTCAAAACACAACGTTTCGGAAGCTGGATTCTATCTCTGTCTTGAACTAAAAACCTGATCAGTTAAGGCCAATGGATGGAGCCAGTCCTTATCTCCGAAAATTTGTGTTTTGAAAAATAAAAAGAATGGTACTTTTAGATAAAGATAGGACGATGGATGACGTCCAAAAAACATAATATTTATGTTTATATGGAATGTATATTTAAATGCGTCAATATATATTTTCACGTGTATTAGTGACCATAGACGGGGTTTGGATTGGTAAATAGATTTACTGATCATTTATAGATCGTAACAACAAATAACCATAACAGTGCTGCTGATTTCCATACTGAGTTTTCTCGGTCTATTTCCAATAGTCTTTACTTGGTAACAGCTCTCCACAGTGGTTATTCCTCTGCAATGTTTTCACTAGACGTTTCCTGGTAACAAATCGTCAGCTTCCGTTGTCCGCTGGTTAGTACTCCACAACTGCACTGCACTGCGCTAACTCGCTGAACTGAATTCGGTCTGTCGAGTCATATAACATCGAAGCGGACCCACATGGAACCCCGTTTGCAACACTTCTTCTATTGTTGCGTGACGTCACTGCTCACATGCTTACCCATTCACTCCATAGCAACGGCTGTATGCGTCACATATCGTGACACGTCATCTATTGTTGCGTGCGGACATTACGCAGCAACGGCTGTTTCTCTGGCTCCTAGTTTCTTGCTTTGATAAAATACGCCACAAAATATTTGAGTTTACAGAAGGACCAGAAAACATGCGCTTCGATGAATGTAGCCCCTGTTCATCTGACTTTTAATTTCCCATTGTGTCCTCTTCTCGCCAAGCGATGTACCCTTTGGGAAAGTACCGTATTTACGCGTGTATAGGCCGCAGCACAATTTTCAGACAGAAATTATAGAAAAAATAATTTTCTTGGAATATTATTTCGGGAGTATTACACCCTGTATTACTAATTATGAATATAATTTTTTTAAAGGAAGTGTGATTTCGAATATTTCGAATATAAGCCGCACCCCAGGTTTCCTCTTGAATTTTTGGCAAAAAATGGGCCGCCTATACATGCGTAAATACGGTAATTCTCGCTGTCGGCGAGGGTCTTCTGAAGTTATACGAGTATGCTGCTTGAACAGGCTGGACGAATTCTTTGCAGATACTGATCTCGCCACAACCATCTTCTGTACGGACATCTCCGTAAATATATTATTAATTTTGGCACTTGTAAAAGAATATTTCGAAAAATGACGACCAAAAATGTATCACGGAATTATATCTGCAGATTGGAGGTGTATGTGTCTGGTAATTTTAAATCCATTTTGGCGATTAGAATTAGATTTGGCAGGAAAATGATGGCATTGCAAATAAAGTCTGTCTATTCCTATTTGAAAACATATTTATACATGAGTTTTATGGCAGCATTGGAACCCGAATATTCATCAAGACAGAATCTAGTTGTTGCATTCTTTCGCATACTATTTCATTCCGGTTACATCCTTACAGACTATTCCTCTTACACAATTTAATGATGTAGTTGCGATATCTTCTCACAAATGCTTGAAGTTTACCATACATAAACGTGCTATTTGCGTGCCTCATCCGTGTATGCTATGTGTCATATCAGTTTCATTTATTTTTATGCAATTACTGGTAGATTAGTAACCGGCCAACACATTAGCAGGTATGGTATCCAGTTTTCTCCTTTCCTCAGTCTGCGTTTCGTAGGTTCAGTTAATTTAGTCTCTATCCAAACACCCTTATCTTTCTAGTGAAAAAGAACTAATTTTACGCCAGTTAGATGTCCGAACCTTTGTTTTCCATAAAGGAGCGAAGGCTAATTCTAAAAGAAGTGTCAGCAAACTTCGATAAATTAATTAAATTTACAGCTTCCCGCACATGTCTTTTCTTCCCGGCATGCAAAAAGTTGCTAGTTGCGTCATACAAACTAGCTCCATCACTCGGCAAATCTTGTAACCAGAGCCTCAGTCGCCTCAGTCGTGCTGATCCACAGTGAGAGCACGTGTATGTTTACAGTTGAGTAATTATAAATAAATTAAGAGGTTTGTAACACGTAATGTTTGTGTAATTAACAAGAGTTGTGAAGGAGGTAGCCATGGGAACGCAAACGTGACTTGGAAGTGAATACCTACAGTGTCAGTTTCAACTCCGCCAGCTCCACGACGGAGCATACTAATGTGCAGGTAGCGTTGAATGGGACTCATTTTAACATGTACAAATTTAATTTCCGAATTCATTATTGATTCTTGTGTTAGTTAATCAGATTGTTTTAACTGCACAGGTTATAATATTATATTTAATATATACAGGTTATATAATATCAAATGAGAATGGAGAGTTATTATGAATTGTGAACAGATATAGATTTTGATTGAGGCGTTCATGGTTTTCTTGCTCTAGAAAGGTTCAAGAAATTTGGGATAAGCCTAGTCAAAGGCTCAAACCGGGTAACGAACTGAACAGGAGTGTGTATAGCTCTTGTCGTTTCACTTATCGTATTTTCATACAATTTTTGTGATTTTGGACATCAAATCCCACTGTCAAATTAGGCGCTTTTCATGATGCGGCGTTTTATAAGGGCCCTGTGTTTGTGAATTATTGAGTCCAGCCAGTTGGATATAGGAATGTGGACTGCATTTATCTAGCTCGGAATAGTTCCAGTAGTTGATTTCTGTGAACACGGCAACAAACTTTTGAATTCCATAAAATACGAGAAAATTCTTGATCAGGGAGTGTCGTTTCTTAAGAACTTTGCCCCCTGGAGTTAATTTTCCTCTTAAATAATGCTTGCGAATTGTTTGGAAATGCCACTGTAGCAGTTATTCTGATTTATTAGCCTACTTTCCTTATTCATAAAAGAATTTAAAAAAGGCTTATGCTACCTCCATGCTGTCTATGTGTTTGTGTATCCCTCCAGTCAACTTTCGAATGGCAGAACCTTGGTATGTATATTGTCACGTGTAATATTGACTTATTTTAGACGGGGTTTGGATCGATGACTCGATTTACTGGATACTCACAAGACGTAAGTACAATTATAACACTCTGAAGATTACTGTAACCGTAACATATAAATAAAGCCGAGCGGTCTAAGGTGTGCACTGTCTTCGCTCGCTCGGAAGCCGAGGTTCGAATCCCACTCAGGGCATGGATGTTTGTGTGCTTTTTTCTGTGTTTGTCTACAGTTAGAGGCCTTGCGACGAGCTGATCACTCGCCCAAGGAGTCCTACCGTATGTGTAAGATCTAGAAAAACCGAAGTCAACAGAGTTCATGGAGGTAGGCCTAGGCCCACTGGGGCTGTAGTACCAAGGAAAAAAAACATATAAATAAAGCCTTCCAAGTTTGCATATACTAGTCGTTGCTAGGTAACAGGTATCAACAATGGCTAGGCCTTTACATTGTTTTCACTATCCGTTTACCGGCAACGGATTTTAAGACACGAGCTATCAATTCGAATCGCTAGGAAGTCTTCTTGCCATTTTTCTGATAATCACCTTGGAAAGCCGGCCCTCCAGAACTCGACTCAATTCTCCACTACAGCCTAGTCAGAGACAAAGTTACCTTGCAACTGGCAGTTTACCGTCAAACGGCTCGTCTTGGCGATAAGCCTCTTGAGACCCATGTCCAGAATTTTTATTTTCTAGGTGAACACTTGCGATTATAGTCCGTATGTAACAACCTGTCTGATGAGAGGACGGGTCTGTTGTTTACTATTTCTGCTGGTCCTCGCCAGCGCAGTCATTCTCAGGTCCGAGTACCGCGGGACTCATGACCACATTTTACTGTCTCACATTATAGACTCTCCCAAACTGGAGGGCCAGGTTCCCTTATTTATATCCCCCAGTAATAGGGTGACCCCAAGGCACTGGGTTCCTTTTCGTCGCCTCCTACGACTCGCAGTGTCACAGTGGAAGTACTCGACTCCTCGCCCACACGGGGGCATCCAAACTAGCCATAACAGAACCTCGTTATATAGCCGCGGCACGGACCACATAGAAACCATCTTCCTTTATTATAGAGAGGCATATATTACGCGTTTGCCTAGGAACCAATCTCGACGTGTATTTCTATAGCAGTGGACTCCTTATTGTTGTCATGCAATAATGGGGGAAAGTGTTTACCGGCCGTTGCATAACAATGCATCAGAATATCATGGCGCCTGAGCCCATCTCATCGACGTACTTCATAAATCCCTCCCATCAGTCTGTGTGTATATCCGTGTGTTCCCCTATCGTTGCTTTGTAACGGATCGATAAAAACTTCAGGGGGGCAACAAATACATGCACAAAAATGGAATAATATTTGAATGCGTCGTTTTCTTGGAGACCCGTGTCGTTTCAAGGAAAGCAGGAGATTGGTTCTGCTCAGAACGTTCTGTTTAATTATGCGTTCAGCAGTTCAAATTATGTAGCACACAGTATATAATTATATAGTATATGAAAGGATGATCCGTGAATACTAAACTGCAAAGGGCCCGGAAATTAGGTGTGATGGAAACATTTTGAGCCGTGTTTCCGCTGAGAGGGCCACGAAAATCTTCGGTCAGTATACCTGATCTCTGGGCCGAGAATTGAACCCGGAATCCCCCGAACACGAAGCATTAATACCAACAAATCGGCGGTAATGTTCAGTGCCTTTAGGAGAAAGATGTATAGTTCATCCCAGGTGCTCCATTTTCAGTTAATCTGCAAAATATCTAAACATGAAATCAGACAGTTTCATACTTTGCGATTAACAATACTAGAATGAAGCAACAACATTGGTCTCACGGTTTGAGACACTGCTATCTTAGATGCTTAGACTCTCAAGTACATAACCAAATTTCAATCCGGACATGCGTTTCATTTGTTCTTTTGTTTGTCCTGAATATTTGCTATAGGCCGATAGCCGTACGAGAACTATCACTAAAGTCGAAAAGATTATGTTTCCTGAACTATTACTGAAACGGATTATTCCAAAAGGCAGAATCAATAAGAGCTGACAAAGATTCCAATAGTCATCTGTTGTCTGTTGGTTATCTCTGTGCCTCTACAGCCGTTTGCTGTGCCTTGGCCACTTTTCTGTTTCTTAATCCAATACACAGTTGATAGGACTCCTTGGACTGAGGACCATCCCATCGATAGGTCGCTGCCTACACACAGAACAACGTAAATACAGATTTAACGCACAAACAAACATCCATGCCTCGAGTGGGTTTCGAACCCACGACCCCAGCTTTCAAGCGGGCGAAAACGATTCATGCCTTAGACCGCGCGGCCACTGTAATCGGTCATCATGGAACTCAGATGACTGTGTACTACGCCTTCAATTGGCACACATTCCTTGTTAACAAGTTGTCCATAGTAATTTCGAATGGAGTATACGCACAAACTTCACAATAAAGTTCCCAAATGTGACGTAGTTACTTATTATGGTTGTAGTTGATGCCAACAGAGGGCTGACGGCGCAGTAGCTTCATCGAACTTTCGCCCTAGCCATACAAAATTTTAATTATAAGTGAACAAGCCATTAAGCTAATTACGAACTGTAATTGCCCGGTTAGACGGATGGAAACCAATAGAGGAAAAACCGATGGGTGAAGAGTGGGGGGGGGATACCTTTGCTGACTGGGGTTTGCTGAGATCCACGAAACCTGCTGGGTCACCATCTGGTTTCTTATAAGTTCATTGCCGGCCGTGCCATAGCTCAAGCGGTTAGACGCTGGCTTCCCACCGCGGCGGCCCGGGTTCGATCCCGGGGTCTGGTCAACTGGGATTTGTGGTGGACCAAGTGGCGCTGGGGCGGGTTTTCTCCGAGAACTTCGGTTTCCCCTGCCAATCTTCATTCCACCAATTGCTCCACAATCACCCTTACCTATCATCTGGTGCTGGTACAATAGGCCAGAAGTGGCCACAGTACAAGGGACTTAGTCACACCCCACTAGTAATAAAGAAAGGGTAAAGGGCGGCAGGTGCGTAAGGCTGACAACCTTACCGCCATATATGAGCCGATTGTATAGAAAATATGAGAACCTCAACATCTCACAGCCCTATGGGCCTCCACGGCCTGTTATAGTGATACCTTTACTTTCTGCTTACTAACTGGACTCCTACTGGCTCAGACGATTACGTGGAAATTGTCATATATGACGCGCGATTTTTTTATTTCGTTGCAACTGTCCTGTTACTTTTTAGAACACTGCTGTCGTCACACGAATTACTCACGAGTTGCTTCAGCGTGTGAACTCCAAGTGCGACTGTTCAGACGCCTGGCTGCGTGCTACGTCTCATGCGATCGGCTATGTCAGTAGAAGAGCGGCGTAAGACTTCAACATCATTACACGAAAGAGATTTTGTGAGTATACTCATGTTTGCTAACTTTCATATAGAAATAAATCAGCCATGGCGACCACAATGCAACTGCGGTTAAGCAGATAGAAAATAAGGTCTTTACTGACACAAGACTTCATTAAAATCAGATTATTTCCTTATTTTTGTGTAGTGGTCCCTTAAAATACGACTTTGAAATATATGCTGATAATTAATATATATTTATTTTATGTATTTTTATATATGATAATGAGGAGTTTCATAACTTCTACTCTTCAACAAATATAATTAGAATGATCAAGTCAAGGAGGATGAGATGGGCAGGGCATGTAGGAAGAATGGGGGAGAAGATGAATGCATATAGGATATTGGTGGGAAAGCCAGAAGGAAAGACAGCACTGGGAATACCAAGATGTAGGTGGGTGTACAATATTAAAATGGATTATAGAGATATAGTTTGAGATAGTATGGACTGGATCAATCTGGCTCGGGACAGGAACCTGTGGAGGGCTCTTGTGAACACGATAATGAAACTTCGGGTTCCATAAATTTGCTAGGAAGTTCTTTAGTAGCTCTACAACAGGCGGCTTCTCAAGAAGGGCTCAGCTCCGTGAAGTTAGTTACTTATAATATATGAGTATGTCATGACTCACTCATGGAGCTGAGCCCTTCTTGAGAGCCCGCCAATTCTGCAGCTATTCAAGATTTTCCGAGCATTTTATGGAACCCGAAGGTTCATTATCGTGTTCAAACAGCCCTCCACTGGTGCCTACCCTGAGCCAGATCAATCCAATCCATGCCATCCCATCCTATCTCTCTAAGATCCATTTTACTATTGTCCTGCCACCTACTTCTTGGTCTTCCCAGTGGTCTCTTTTCCTCCTAGCTTTCCCACCAATATTCTATATGCAGTCTCCTTCCCTGCCCTACCGACCTCATCCTAATTGACGTCAACATTCTAATTATACTTGCAGAAGGGTACAAATTATCAAGCTCCTCATTATACAGTTTCCGAGGCATTTTGAACATTTTCGTAAGGAGCTTATTTTTTATGGTGAGGAGTTGTTAGCCCCCCGCCCCCTGGAGGACCACCCATTATCGGCTGTCCGTGACTGCTTATTCAATATAGTCACAACTTCCCTCCACGAGTATGTTATATGTATAAATATATTATACATTTTTTTATATATATTTTGTAATTTACATACTTGTCTTCTAACGAGATGCAAGGCACAAATTCGGAAACTCTGTAGTCCGGTACGGATTACTAATTTCCAAATTTGTTTTCAGAGCTCGGATGGAGTTCTTTGCGTTTCAAACAATTAATTTTAAACTTTTTGCGTCCTTTATTCAAATCTTGTCATTGTAAGCCAAATCCTGGGTTGGAGTCTTCATTGAAGAATCTGCTTGATATTTATTGGTTTCTGTTGTTGAAAAATCCATTTTATGCAACTTTTAATTCAATCAATTTCATAAAATTAGGCCGTACAACCTTCTTGTGCGCCTTTTTCATGACGTTTTTCGCTAAGACATATTTAATTTTACCACATGGACATATCTCGCCAATAGAATGCAGTAAAAGCTCATAATAAAAAAGTAATTAATAAATCATTTGAAAATGTGAAGCTTTGATACTTTAAAACGACAACAATAAATCAAAATTAGATTAATTAAGAAAGTAGGAGTATGAGGAATTCCGCGAACGTTGCTACGTACTATGCAGCTCAGAACCTTCCATCTTTCACTTTCTCATCTTAATTCCAGAGATTAATATTGTGACATGTGGAACTGTTGCTAAGTAATGAGTATAAAGAACTCCCGGTTCTAGGCAACAGATTCGTAATAAGCAACAATCTAACAGAAGCAGAGGAACGGTGTTGTCTATGCGGTCCGTGTCGATGGGATATAAGCGAGGCAAGTCTACATTTTAGTCTGTTGTGAGACATTCGTCAGCCAGTAAGAGCATAAACAGAAGACATTATTAGGATCCGTTACCAGGAAACGGCTAGTGAAAACAAACTGAGGAATGTAGTATATACTGTAGTGAACTGCATTGTTTGCTGTAGCAATAGCACTATAGTTACTTGTAGTTACGATCTGTATGTGTTCAGTAAATCCAATTATTAATCCAACCCCCCCCCCCTATGGTAATTAATATAAATGACCATATGCAGAAGTATATTTTCTCTTCTGGTCTGCATGGGCACAGAATCTGGTCCCTTGCCTGAAGTGAAAAATATGCACTAATATTAAGGAATTCTGGGACAGAATATTGACCATTCCTCTTGGGACACTCTGTATATCTTATGGAACCATTTTCTGTTTAATATTTGTTTTGTCTTGTAAAACAAAATTAATCAATTCTAATAACACCGTCATAAAGGACGGTTAATCAAGCTTCAATATATGTTGTGATTTTGGTACATTAGTGAGCCATTAGATGGTGAAGATTATTGGAATGATTGATGCTGCCACCTATCAGACCTGCATTTAGCTTCGACGAAGGCGGCATTTCGACGTATCGTGACGATTCATGCCACGATGTACATTAACGCATACAAGACACAGATGAATGATGAGAACATTTTTTTGCCGATGTGGTTTTACTTTTGTCTTGTTCGATTAGGCAGATCAGAGGAAAATATCCATAATCAACATTAGACAAAATGTGGATACGGGGTTACCTCCGTTTTTTGTGTTAATGTTTCGAAATCATTTCCAAAAAGAAAGAACTTCATGTAAGCTTATATCAGTTCATATTATTTTATACAGGATCTCTGAGGAGGAAAAGTCAATATCCTGGGAGGTCATAGTATTGGGCATTCTAAGCAAAAAATTTTATATGTACACGTGCTCCTTTCCGAATGGTTTCCTAGATAGAGCTATTTCACTAGACAGGCGAAGAACACGCCATGTCTCCATACGAATGACAAAGTGACGGTTGACTTTTCGAAAATGTATTATGCTAGGTAGGAGCCGAGGTAGCGTAATCGGTATAGAGACTCTACGTGCTGGACGATCGAAAGGTCGGAGTTCAAATCCGGGTATTTTCAAGAATTTTTTCTTTTCCACGTCGTAAGACCGGTTCTGGGGTCCACCCTGTTTCCTATTGAATGGAGACCGCGGTTCTTTCTTCGGGAGTAAAGCGGCCGAAGAGTGAAGCTGATCACCTCCAATTAGTGTCGAGATAAAATATGGAGCTATATATCCACTCCCGCCTACGCCTTAATGGCGTAGCGCTTAATTAGTTAAGCACATGGATTTTGCCTTTTTATTATGCGGGGTAAATCGTACCAAACTTTTTTTTTACTCGAACAATAAATACTGTTATTAGACACAGTACGTAATCTCTCTCTCCTATCAACAATTTTGGAACTGTACAGTGAAATAGCTCTATCTCAGAAACCGTTCGGAATAGGACACAAGTACATTTACAATTTGTTTAGAATGATCGATACTGTGACCTCCCAGAATATTGACCTTTCCTCCTGTGACACTCTGCATATTTGTCTTTCTCGTGTGGAGGCGTTTAGAATACTTCCACCGTAGCCTTGTGATTCGTAGCAGGCGAAGGAACGGGAGTCCTGTGCCTGGGGATTATAACTCAGCCACCCAGTTACTTGGGGACATAAATACAGGGACCCGGTCCTTCACGTTGGCTCTGTGAAAGAAATCCAAAGAAGTGAAAACCTGAGACTATTCAGATGTAGGCCATGGCTCAAAAAGCGCTCTTTCTCAGTGGTGACGATACACGTAGGTAAGTCGATAAGTAAGTTACAAATGGATATAGAACTTAAACAAACAAGAGTACTGATTTGAAAAATGCTTTTATTTCTCAACGTAATCTCCCTGTACATTGAGGCACTTGTCCCATCGATTCACAAGCTTCTGAAAACCAGCAGCATAAAATTCTTTGGGCTGCTCTCAGAACCAGGCGGTGACTTTCCCTTTCTACAGCATCACTTTCCTGGAGGATGGTGTCACCTTAAACTTTCTTTTGGCAGGCGACGCAGGATGTTTCCACTGCATTCACGCACGCTTTGTCTCGGGCTGGTAATGGTGAACCTAAGACTAATCACTTGTGACACTTCGGGCTGGCATATCATGTCCTTCATCGTGGTAGCGATTGAGATGCTGTAATGCCACACCCATTCTTTGCATTTTGTGTTGTGGGGTCAGCATGCGCGGTACCCATCGTGCACAGACTTTGTGAAAACCTAACCTGTCATGCATTATGAGGTAGGTCATGCCGTGTGAACACGCCTGGTTCTGACAGAAGCCCAAAGAATTTTATGCTGCTGGTTTTCAGGGGCTTATGAAGCGATGGGACAAGTGCCTCAATGTACAGGGAGATTATGTTGAGAAATAAAGGTATTTTTCAAATCAGTACTCTTATTTGTTTAAGTTCTATATCCATTTGTAACTTACTTATTGACTTATCCTCGTATTTATGTATCTCCTCGAAGATCTTGAAACTCTTTAGTGAGGATATCAAGCAATCGAATGTAACCTCGAAGGAGTCAGAAACCCCCGTGTTAAATTGTTGCGTGACGGCAGTGGGAACCATCGAGGCAGAAAGAACACTTAACTTAGAAACAATCATTGCCAGGTCGTTAATATCCGTACCTTAAACTGTATTTTAAAAATCTCAAGCTTTCTTAAGGGCATTATTGCATGAGCTACAAAGTAACAGTCGATCCATTGAATCGCTTGTTGTGTCCATGTACGTACATAAATGCCACATAACTCTTACTATTATTGATTTATTGAGTTGCAAGGTTACGGAAAGATTCCCCTGAAATTTCGTGACGATGATTGATGCATTGGACTGTAATTGCTATAGGCTACGCTTGGCACGGACCCTGCTGCCGGTTATATTTACCATACTACACAATGTTTCGGGAATTGCCTCTACTTCCATCTTCAGATGAATGGTTGCCATTGTATGTATATATGGACTCTGCCGTAGGTCAGGCGGTGAGGCTTTGGCTTCTCACCCTGGAGGGTTGGGTTTGATTCTTTGTGACGTAATGTGAGCTCATAACATTGGAGAAGATTTTCTCTGGGTTTCATCTGTTCCTCCCTGAAAACGTCATCCCAGTGTTGCTCCGTATTTATATCACGTTTCTTCTAGGTATGTGATAGCCATGGCCAGGCAGATTAGATGCTCTATTTCTGACCAAACACTTGGCTGGTTACAGAATAAGTATATATATTCGTGTGTTGCCTATATAACACGACAAGTAAATTCACGCGGGTCTCGGATTTGGCTAAGACGTTTATTGGACAATCTCTTTTACACTCCAAAGTACAATTATTCACAACTTCACTATCATAATTACTTGCACCGCTAATCTCGGTGAAGTGTCTTGATCCCTTTGTCGGATGCGAGCTTTCTTCTGCTCTAGTCGGAGCTACACTAAAAGCTGACTGGCCTTGTCGAAGCTGGACTTTTATAACAAGGACTGACTAGTAAACATCGTGTTAAAGGGTTCGGTTTTATCCGCTGGTAGTATTCGTTTCCATGGATATCCTTCCATTTCCGGGGAATCGTATTTGTTGTTTGGGCGAGTCCTATGCAGCGGTCTGCTGTTGTTTTTCCACTGAAGTATACATTGTTATCGCAGCCGTTGCCTATCAATGGACGACTTATCATCCGGTATCCTAGCGGCACTCCTCAGTATATATATATATATATATAGTCACGTGTAGAGTGATACGTGCGTCGAAAATGACGGTTTCTAGATTGGTTGACTGGATTTATTGGCATATTGGCTACAACCTCTCTTAATCACACTTAAATATATTTAATACAGCGCTACCGCTGATTTACACATTTTATAATTCCCTGCTGCACACACACACACACACACACACACACACACACTGTGATTCTCATTTTTTCACTAATCGTCACCTGGCAACGGATCTTCACACAGAAACTAGCACAGGCTCACTGAGTCACACACTCCAAATATTATACATAATTAAACTATTCAAATCATGCGATCCATTCTTGTCCTTGTACTCGCAACTGCTGAATCCTCCGGGACTCACCGCTTTGTCATTATCACTTAAATCTGAAACCTCTTAGCCAAAGTCAAAGTCAAAGTCATGTCAGTCAGTCAGTCAGTCAGTCAATCAATCAGTATTTGTGTCGAGCCCATCTGGGGTTCATGACCAGATATTTATTACTGTTTGAAAGTTAGGGGCTTGTTTTTATGGGGGCGCTCTCTGACGAGAGGACGGGTCTGCCTTTTGAATATGCTGCTGGCCCTTTCCACTGCAGTCTTTCTTGGGTCCGATTTCCTTGGGACTCGTGACCATATTTTACTATCTCACATTTGAGACTTCCATTTTCGTCGTCTCCTACGACTCGTAGGGTCACGATGGTGGTATTCGACCCCGCCTCCGCACAGGTTATGACCAGATATTTATTGTAACTAATGTTATATAGCCTCCGCACCGACCACTGAAAAACAGCCTCTATTGTTGAAACGTGTTTACAGGACCTACAGGGACACCGTAGAAAGCCAGTAGCATGATAGTTACCTCACCATTCCATTGGCGCGCTGTCACCTAGCAACGACGAAGTCATTGGATTTTTTTCAATTGACCTAATCCTTCCAGCCGTACTATGGCCCTGGAGTCGATTCAGCCTCTTAACAGAAGTGAGTACCAGGAATTAATTAAATAATTTTCTTGGGGAGTAAAGCGCTGCCGGCGCGTAAGACTGACAATCTTACCGCCATCTTTGAGCCGATTGTCTAGAAAATGTGGAACCCTCAACGTCTCACAACCCTATGGGCCTTCACGGCTTCTTACAGGGATAGCTTTACTTACTTTTATTTGAGTTAGTATAGTTACTGGCTAGATAACACTGTTTCGACTTAGTGGATGATAAAAATGTGTCTCTTTGCTACCACGTCCACAACTTCTTCCGAAATCAATGGAAACTGTGAGCTGCTTCCGCCACGCAATGAAGCTGATCATTAGCATTCATTTATTGCAGAGTTTAGGAATGAGGAGAGCCATACTTCCACTTCCCCATACATATCCATAGCGTGGCGATAAATGAAACGTAGTGAAAGTTGCCTTTGATTTTATACAGTTAAGAATTCAGAGCCTTGATTCGAGGTAACGTACAGCAAACCTACCTAACGCAGAACCTTCAGCCTGTAAGTCTGTGCTAATGTCATTGAGAAAGGCAAAGCGGGCAAGATATGAAAAGAAAGGCCTGAACAAAATGTGAAAATTTAACAATAAACTGAGTCTGGAAAAATGTGGATTAAGAGTAGACACCGAGGCCGTGTTAAAAAACTGGTCTGTCCGGTCTGTCATCACGTGACGTTCTGCGGCAGCTGGATAAAGGATTAAACCCCGATAGCTCGGCTTGTAACCGTCTGATGTGGGATAGTCGATTACAGTTTCATTACTGCCCTCTCTTGGTATTCAGCAGTGAAGACGTCGTGGCTTCTTGATGTGGAATATTGTTATTTTTATCAGAAAAAAAAACAGTTCGCTTTCCTCAGTGTTCGTTCACCCAGTCGTCCAAGATGCTTCCTGTTATTATGGAACGCAGTTCTAGTTCAGTTCATATCATATATGTAAACTATTTTATCAGGTAGAGACTTTGTGGAAATATAATTTTGCATTTTGGTGTACCCTGTATGGATGTGAAAATTCCTCTCTTACTACGGTAGGAATTTACTTATTGACGACGTTCTGGAACAAATTCTGAAGGAAATATTTGGATATAATGGTGGTTAACTAGAAGGAGAAAAGGAATTGTTACATAATGGGGAGCTTTCTATATATCTGAGACTAATTTTAAGATAATTATGTCATGGAGGTAGGAACGGACGCAGAATTTAGCATAAGCGGAAGGCGTAAGAAAGACACATTACATTTTGGTTTGCAAATTTCAAGGAAAACTTTCCTTCCTAACGTCGTGACCTGAGAAATTAAAGGAAGAAAAATTTTAAAATGGAAGGTTAAGTCATTTCTAATAATTTTTTCCACTTACTCTACATCCCCATTGTGCCTGGCCTCTGATTTCCAGTTTCATGATCATTTTACAGACAGTAGGACTCCTTTGACGAGTGATCAGTTTGTCGTAAGGTCTCTACCTCGACACAGGAAACACATACACATAATAAACATCCATGCGTAATGTGAGATTCGAAGCCACGATCCCGGCTTCCGAGTGAGCGAAGACAGTGCATATTTTAGACCTCTCGACTACCATAACCGGCCGATTCTAATATACGTGTATTGTCACGATTTGGAGGGGGGTGACTATAGAAGGGGTATGGATTGGTGAATGGATTTATTGATCACTTATACACACCACTTGGAACTACAAGCACTCACAACGCTATCGCTGATTTCAACACTTTAAAAATCACCACAGCATTTGCTAAGCCTTTTCTAAGTCTGCTGTGTCTTCACCAGCCATTCCCTAGCAACGGCTTTGACTGTGGAGATTGTTCAGCTTCACGCGCTCGGGTCCTCTTCTCACAGCCGTCCGAGCAGGACTCTTGTCAAATGCTGATTCAACTATAGCGCCATATCTTCTCAGCCTCCCTTGCAGAGCTCGACTGAGTGGTTGCCCCAGTTCTCTTCTGTGTAAATCCGGGGCGCGGACCGCGACGACAGCACCCCTTCTACCCCTTTGCATGCGTATCCGTTGCCACAGGAACATGTTTACCGAGCCGTTGTCAAGAAAAGGGTTTGATAAAACCGTCAATCTCTTGATCGTTGCATAGCAACGGCTGTTTTGGGGCTAATACCTGTGGGCACACTTCCCATTTTTTCACGTGTATAGAAAGCGAACTATTTAAAAAAAATACTTAATTTACTCTCGTAGGTTACGTTTGCTTTGCTAGATTATCCAGATAAGCAAGTGTATTCGTCTATATTTTCCAGAGATCACTTCATTATTACAGGGCATAGCGCCATCTGTAGTTGGTATAGTCTTCAGATGACGTCCGCTCAAATGAAACCACTGATATCGGTTCCAACAGATTCATCACGTAACTGTTAGATCGTGTAGCTCTTAGCGCATGCGCCAACACGACGTGACTCTATCCCTTCCTCTCAGTAACTTCCGCCATTATTATGATCTGTGGGCTGCATTTACTAACACATCGATATTCTGGGTCCCGAGTTCCACAGTCCTCTGCAAAATTACCGTCATGGAATTAAAACTACAAGTTTCAACACCGTCAACTCAAATATTCTCCACTGAACCGTATTATGAGGCAGTTTAATTCAGTCCAGCTAACTAAAATCTGGTTGTTTACGAGCCATTGTAGACCGTTAAATAGCCCTTAGTGACCTTTATCCACTGTTATGTGATGTCACCGCGGATTCAAAGGAAGCACTGGTCCAGTATTGTTGGACGTGTGTGTGTTACGGACATTGCCTAGCAATGGATTTACATGTCAAGACATGACAAGAAAATAAATAAACAAAATAAAAGAAACAGAGAGAGGAAGGAAGATAGAAATTAAGAGAAAGAAGGATATTGATTGAGAGCAAGAAGGAGCGAGCGAAAGTGAAGGGGAAGAAAAAAGGAAGAGAAAGAGACAAATGATAATAATTATTGAAGAAAGGAAAAGCACCGAAGTCTCTCCTGCTGCAATAGTTTTCTTGTCATTTCCGTCTTGTTGCCTTGTAACAAATACTTCATATGCATGTCTGTCTCAGTGAATTAGCAAACTGCTAATCCATCAGAGGTTCTTCAGTTAATAATATTTCATTGTCACTCATCACGTTAGAAGTAGGTTAAGGCGAATAGAGCCTATGGAAAACTAATGTTCAGCCTTCTGTGTGTGTTCGTCTTGAATACTTTACATTTACATAAGGGTAGAGGCGGCTTATAACTTAGAGTTGGGTGAGACCAAGTCCGTTGGTATTTAGACCACGGGTCCACTGCACTAGCCACGGATGAGATAAATGGAGGATTTGATTTAATGCGAATTGTCAGGGAAACAGAAGTGGTTAGAAAAAGACTTGCCTCAGTGCCACTCAATGTAACAAAAATCCCACATGAACTGACCTGGGACGGAACCCGGGCCGCCACATTGATAACCCGGCGAGTACTAGCAAGGCCTATAGGAATTTGAGACTTCCCACTTCTAGACAATCGGCCCACAGATTGCGGTAAGGCCAGCCTTAAACACCGGCCGCCCTTGACCCCCAGAAAGATTTCGGATACTCACTTCTGTTAGAAGCTGAGTCGACCCCAGGTTCATAATGCGGCTGGAAGGATTAGATAAATTAAAAAAAAGTTCAATGACTTCATCGGGGCTCAAAACCGAGACCTTCTGGCTTATAGCATAGTCCTCGTCCCCCTAGAACGTGGCTATCATTACCCAAGTTCATGTGACAGCCTGGTTAGGCAAGTGGAGATGAAGGGAAGTAACAGCACCTGGAGGAAGGTGGAACTTGTCTGCATAGTTTCAGTATGTGCTACAGGCTGGACTGTCGGGGTTTCATTACCGACAAGGGAAGGAACTTTCACCACTCTCTGGCCCATCAGCTTCTCGTCGAAGTGGTACCAAGGCTACATGCTCCTAGGTAAAGCAGCCGGGGAGTGAAGTTCATCACCCATTGCCATCAAATGCTTAGGTTAAGAGTGCTTGAATCTCTATATGCGCAAATGTTTTCATGGAGTTGTGCTTAATTACGCACAGTGGCAACTTTACCATTTACACTATTTACTTTATACACGGGTATTGAAAGCAGAGTTTCAACAATTCTTAGATTTTGGAAAAAGACAGAGGCCTTGCAGTTTCCAAATTAATTAACTAATTTCTTCATTTGTTAATGCATTGATTTTTGTTTGTTCTTTGTCAATGATTCGTTTACTTATTTATCCATTCGTGGAGAACGGAGTAGCGTAGTTGGTTGAGGCAGTATGTTACAAGCCGGAAGGTCGCGGGATCGAATCCCGATGAGGTAGATCTTTTCAATTTACCTAATTCTTCCAGCCGCAGTATGGCCCTGGGGTCGACTCAGCCTCTAACAGAAATGAGTACCAGGAATATTCTTGGTATATTCTTGGGGGGTAAAGGGCGGCTGGCGTGAAGGGCTGAAAACCAAACCGATATCTATGAACCGATTGTCTAGAAAATGTGGGGGCCTTAACACCTCACAACCGTATGGACCTCCACGGCCTGTTACAGGGATACCTTTACTTAATTTTTTTATTTATCCATTCGTGGTTATTCATTTAGATTTATACAATTTTATATTTATGGATAAATTGAATACAATTTTCCTTACTTCTGAATACTTTGTAGCTTTAAAGACCCCACAGCATGCCCCTACCACGAGCTGCAGGCAGCTGTCTCTGCAATAGCGTTACGTTACAATTTTCTCAGTGTTTTCAGGGCCCGCATTGTATTGTTCTACCCTTCCAACTTGCCAATGTCTCGCAACAAACACAGAGCTCTTCTTGGTGAAGAGGTCCAAGTTTTCAAAGAGATTCAAAGTGCGAGCGAAGTGGAGGGATAATGACGCGAGGTGTCAGGGCTATCCATACGTTTCAGCTCAGACGATATCTGGATTAAGATATGAATAC